ATTTGGCCAACGATGGAAAGTGGAACGCGTCAACGGTCGTAAACTCTGGGTGGGATTCCGAGAGAGAGCATGCGCACCTGTCGTCATTCTCCTTCGGTTGATAGTTACCACCATCGATGAAGATCTTGCGGAGGTTGGGAAGGGAAGCGAGCACGTCGACAAAATTTTCGAAGTTCTCTCGGAAGAACTTAGTATCGCTTCCGTTGATGGCCGTGATGTTCCGGACGATCTTATTGCCATTGACGGTGGGCAGAATGATCGAGGCCTTGAGAAAATCGATCTCGTGATTTTCCTTGAGAGTGAATATGTCGGTAGCGAGGCACACCCGTCCCACGAACGGGACTCGGGGACGCCGATGCCTGCGTGTGATCATAGCCATTCGAGGGAAGTATTTGCTAACCATATTGCGGCTTCTGGAATCGATATGCAGGAGGTCGCGAATTCGGTTGATTCGTACGTAGTGATCATCGTCATAGCCGATCGTGCTGACGACAATCCTGGCCTCACTCCGTCTGTCGTACTCGAGGACGTGTTCCAGCGGATGGGTGTTTTTCACTTCTTGCTGGACGAGAACCTCGATGATATTGAGGAAAATTTCGTAAGGGACGCGGACCGAATCGGTCAGGTTCGGAAGCTTTGACAGAGACATGATCGTGGCTTTCCGCTTGCGTTATTTCGATGGTCGAGTTCAATCTCTCAACTGTATTCGTCTGGTGTCGGTGAAGCAAAGACCGAAAGTCCTTGATGTCGATGTGGCGACGGCTGTCGTGCCTTTTCGACAGCTTGAAGCCGGGAGATTAGAGTGACACTTTGCCTTCCTGCGAAGGAAACAAATGGAAAAACGAGGAATATAATGGAAACCAATGATGTGAAAGGGATAGAGGTAACCTTTCGGTTGTCAAGGGAATTGGAAGGAAGAAGGAGAAGTCAGCCCCTCCGTGGAAGGCTGAGGCGCAAGGCTACGAAGGGAAGTCTCAACTGATTCACCAGCTTGCCGGGGGCGATGAACTTGGCAGTAGCACAGTAGGGTGCCGTCTGTTCAGCTATTAGCAGTTTTGAGATCACAAGTTCCAGCCGGGAGATGTATGGTTGTTGTGACTTGAATAACAAAATCGTCTTTGCGGCCTCTCATAAGACATCCTGGCAGTCCATTCATCTCCAGATAAAGCCCAAACATTATGCGGAATGGCAACCTGCCAAAGTGGGACATGATTTTGTAAGGACATGGAGCTGTAGATCTAAATCGAAGTGAGAATGTAACTATAGTAGCCTACAATTGAAAATGAGTGTCTATCAACTTTATCAAGACTGCTACAGGTGTCGTATTTTCACTTTCGTTCACTGCTAGATCTTGGGGATCTTTGAAACCTTCGTTCTTCTGAACATTGTCAGTGTCAAGTTCATACTCACCCTAACGATACTGCAATTCATCACAGTTTAGATGGGCTGGGCCCTGGTCTATGGAAACCTCAACTCCATCCTGTCTTTCATGGACAAGTCGTACTTGATGTACCTATCTGGCACCTCATTCATATGTCTCGTCGTCAGAACTTGTTGATCACGCCTTAGCGGCGCGTAATTCGATTGTTTAGCTTATAGTGGTCCAGCTCCTTTTTCAATTTTATCTGATATGGCCGGGCAACATCCTCGACCCGCCCTGAATCGGGTGCCCCAGCCCGACTCGTAAGCCCCAACAGCCTCTTGGGATCATGAGCGAAAGCGATCCCGTCAAGAACACTCGGATCAGCCCCCTTGTCAAGGAGCCACTCCACGTAATCCCAGTCCCCCGTGGCACAAGCCAAAGTCAGAGCAGTCTGCTCCCCTCTTTCTCCTGCCCACTTCACGTCATCGACACCTACGTCATCGAAGCTCAACATGTGCTCAGCCATCTCACGACGCATGGAGAACGGGCTCACCCATCGTTCACCGTCCTCACTATGTTGGCCGACAGCTGATAATACTAACATGTCTCGCACGATGCGCAGCAAGGGCATGAGTTCGGAGACCTTGAGGGCAGGATCGCTGTACGTTCTGAGCAGCTCGAAGAACCGCGGATTCCAGGTCTCAATCGCAAGACCAAATGTCCATATCCCATGCCGGTGAAACGGAACCTCAACTGGAAACCAGACATCTGGTTCTTGTTCCGTAAGTGTCGGAATATGATACCACCCTGGCCCAATATTCGGATCAGCGCCGGAAGAGAGGAGAAATTTGGCCAGAGGTTTGTTGCGGACGCATAAAGGATCTTGGAGCGCCCACTTTGGGTAGTTCCCCTCTCTGGGCTCCCAAGCTTGATTCGGGTGCCACCCTGCGTCCATGAAGGCTTGCAGTAGAGGAACCAAGGTATCGTCATCTTCTGGAAAAGTCTCGAAAAGGGAAGCGCCAACAGCGGTTCCTCGTGTCTTTGATGCGGCTTCCGTGCCTTCAAAGACGTATCCGTGGAGAGCTGTACCGTTGGCAAGTAAGAACTTGGCGACAGCAGGCTGGTTCCCGAAAGAAGCTTGCTGCAGACCAAATTGACGAACAGCGTGACTAGGAGACATGTCGTGAATGAAGACTTCAACCTGTTGCAGGTGGCCCATTCGACAAGCAATGTAGAACCCGAGCTCCATGGGGTCATCGGGGTTTAGGTTACCGACATCAATAGCATAATCGGGTCGTGGAAGGCGAGGCGGCAGCGGGGGCAAGTCCACAAACAGAGCTTCGAATTCTTGAATTTCGTCTATTAGCTGAGGGGCATCGGAAATGGGGCGCTGCTTCGATAGACGTTCCTCATTGATGCGTTTGACGTATGCGATATGCCATCTCAGCCGCGCCCGGCGTTGGGAGGTACCTTGCGCTGTAGTGTGTCCCATGTTAAACAGTGGCGAATCGCGAAAGAGGCCGTTTGTCTTATCCGGAATGATTACTTTTCAAAGCTTTTAACACGAAGCCAGGCCAGAATACAACTGCGCGGCCATGTTTATGATGAATTTCTGGCTTGCATTGTAGAATGTTGGGGTTTCTTTGACCCATATTCCAGTCCAGTTCAGTCATTACTGGAGGCAACACGGAAACGGAACGCGATCGAAGAGTAATGGGGTCAATCAAGGCGATGAAGTAACTAGGGGGCAGAGGCAGACACTCCAATCTTCCCTTGCCAAGTTCTTTCCAACGCTGACACCGACTTCTTTGTTAATGTTCTCTTGAGACTTTCCCCGAGTGCTTTTTGCCTCCCTGATGTACCTTCATGTTTTATTTACTCGGACCCACTTGGGCTATTGAGGTGAGTTTTGTATCCAGTCTATTTTCGGGAACAACTGTAGTGGCATGAGTTCATCCCTTCAAAGTACAAATAGCTCCTCGAGGACCTCGCGTCAATGAACTGCTCTCTTCAGTAAGAAAAAGTACAATGTTGGCAAGTCTACGACAGAGTTGTTTGTCCCAGATTCAGAAGGGGTGATGTGGTGTCACGAATCAAAGCCCCAAAACAAGGGCGTTACACTTTCAATCAGGCAATCATCTCCCCTTTGAGTTGCGATAAGTCCACTGGCGACTTAAGTGCACTTCCTCCCTTATTTTTTACCAGACAACGTCGCTGTGTTGTCTGCCATCTCTTTTCCTCATCAATCCATTTTTGAAAACATATCATGCCGTCGAAGTTCGGGTTCACTCTTTTCCTAGGCTCGTTGCTGTTGGCCAGTCCTCAATTAGGAGTACTCGCTGAACCATTACACATCATTCAAAAATGGGCAGCATGGACAACCAGCTACAACAACAAACATGTTGTTCTGGCAGAATCACCGCCACCTCCTGGCCCACCCGGTCCATCTGTAATTCCAATTCTGACGACAACTCCTTCAGCTCCTCAGACGTCTCCTCTGCCTCAATCAACCAAGAGCGAAAAGTCATTCAACCCATCCGACGTACCCACAGTATGGCCCTCCTCCACAGCTGCGGTACAGAAACCGGGAACAGCTTGCACCGAAGACAGTCACTGCAACCTCCCAAACCAGTGCGCTCGCGGCCAGACACCGGCTTGTGACAAAGTGGCCCAGGTCTGCAAGTGTCTAGCCGTGCCTACGCTTGCGCCTACATCGGATCCTACCCCAACAACGCCGACCAAGAACACCAGCAAAGCGCCGTATCCTATTGTCACACAGTGGATCAAGGATATGGAGATCAAGGTCGGCGAGCAGAAATGCAACGACAAGGTTTCGTTCGGCCAGGAGGTCATTAGCGGGATGGATATCCTGATGGATATTGAGAAGATTTGCAAGGCGTTGGATGAGAAGAAGCTGCGGATATCGCCAGATAGCGGGGAATACAAATCCAACGGGCTGGGCACGAATGGTTCAAAACATCATTTTACAATTTCTTGGATACAGGGCTGCACCTTTCCGAGCAAGGAGAGAACAAAGTATGGCATGAGGGCCTTTGATCCGAGGGAGACGGGGGAGGAGATTGATGGGATGAATCGGTGCGAGTACATGCTGAACTGGAACTGGAAAGAATGTGAGTACAGCTCGTCTACCAGCTACTTCATTGACAGATTCATTAACCAACATTCGTATTGTATGCTGACCTTTTTGATACAGGCGATAAAACCAATAGCGGCAAAGGAGGGTATCGAGATATAGGCTGCCTGCGGTACGCCACGGGACCGGGAGAAGAGGGCACCAAGGGCACGGGCGACGGTATCAAGGAGAGGCTAAAGGAACTGGCCAGAGACCTGGGACCGTGGGAGACCATTTTCTGAAAAACAAGTATTACTTCTATGAGGCGATCCTATGGATGTAGCTATAATAATCTTCACTTCTCGACAACTTCTATGGAGAAAGGCTCAATGGCTGATGTGTCTCCTGATGCGACATTCCAAACGCCGTATATGCTACAATAGATCTATTCGGAGGGCTAAGGGGGTATACAGTCCTCTTCTAATTTGTGTCGCGACGGACACACCATACATCAGACACATCCTCCTTCTTCTCAATGGGTTTGCAAGAGAATGATGACCTCTCTCAAACACTCTTCTCGATGTCTCGAGGTCCGGTCTGCTCCTCGCTCGCCAACACGCCCGTCGACTTCTCGCTGTTACCACCCGCAGCCGCAGCAGCAGCAGCAGCAGCCTCCCTCTCCCTCTTCCTCTCCAGCCGCGCGAGCTGCTTAGCCCGCTTACTCTCATTCTTCTCCTGATCCTCCCTCATCTGCCGAATAATCGGGCTCTTTGCGCGAATCTTCTCGCCGTACCGCCAAAAGATGATGGGGATCGGAATGAGCGCGAGCTCGAGGAGACCGCAGAGCGTTCCCGCCCACTGGGGCGACATGGCCTTATACATGGACGTGCCCGCGAGCGGCAGCGTGCCGCCAAACATGCTCCGCATGACGGCGTTGCCGGCCAGCGCGGAGGCGGCGTAGATGCCGTACGCGCCGGCGAGGTAGTTGGACCCGTAGATGAAGGAGATTGTGTTGCCGGCGCCAAAGGGGATGCCGAAGGCGATGGGAATGGCCCAGTGGATCGTGGCGGGGAGGCAGGTCCAGGAGAAGACGAGCTGGCCTATGGGGGTGAGGATGGCGCCGATGGTCATTACGCGGGCGGTGGCTTCGGGCGGGACGCGGCCTGTGATTGGGTCCTTTGGGTGAGCATTGATGATGCGGCGGAAGATGGGCTCGCTGATGATGGCGAGGATGGTGCCGATGCCGATGCCGACGAAGGCGAGGCCCGAGACGCCTGGACCCCAGCCGCGGTATTGGGAGAAGACGATGGGGTAGGCGACGAAGCAGAGGTAGAGGATGCCGTAGATGAGTGAGATCCTGGGCTTTTTGTTAATATTTGGGCCGGGGCGGTTGGGGGGGGGGGGGCGTGACGGGAGAGTCTTACCAGAGGTTGAAGAACCACAGAATGGGCTCTGTGAAACTGAGAACAAAGGGACGGCTGAGATTCAGCTTGATAAGGTGGACCTTGGAAACCTTCTCGTCGTAGCGGCACCACCAGCGCGGATCATCCGTCTCTTTGCGAATGCGAGCGGCCTTTCGTTGGAGAATGGTGGGTGCGTAGGTCTCACGCAGGGTGAACATGAGCGCGATGCCCACGCCGGCAATGATGAGGACGATCCAGTTGGTCCATCGCCAGCCTAGGTACTGGTACACAAAGCCACCGATGATCGGGCCGGTGACTGGACCGTTCAAGGGGGCGATGGAGTAGAAGGACATGGCGAGGGCACGATACTCCTCATCTGAAATGTCCACCACCGTTCCTGGGCTGTTGGCGATCAAGGCAGCTCCGAATAATGCACTGGGTTACAGTGTTAGATGATCCCGATTACTTGAGAGAGTGGATTGCTTACCCGAAGAAGCGAACGACGATCAGTGTCGTCAGAGACTTTGCAAGAGCGCAGGGAATGATCAGAAGAGATGAAACGGTGAAGCATCCAAGGTAGACATATTGCCGGCCATACAACTCGCTCATCGGGGCAACGATCAAACTGCCGGCAGCCAAGCCAAGAAGGTAGGTAGTAACACCAAGCGTCGCAATGACCCTGCTCGAGTGATACTCCTCAACGAGGCCGGGGATAGATGCCGTATAACTCGTGCTGTAAAGCACGACAATCCAAGTAGAGAGTGAGACGACGAAGATGGTCCAGCCGCGGTACCATAGGGGCCAGTTCTTTGGGTTCTCTGGGTCATCGGGCTCAAATACGACCTCGTAATCCGGAGGCCGTGACGCGGTGCTGCCGATACTCGTGCCGGTGCGAGTGTACGTGATGGGCTCTCGAGCGACGTGCTCTGCCTCGGTCTCGAGGTCGGGCGTCAGGGCGTGCTCGAGTGGCTCGAGGGGGTCGGTGTCGGTGGACGAGTGGGACGAGGCCCGGCTCCGGCTGTGGTGGCTGTGCCGGGACTCGACCTCCTTGAGCGGGCGGAGTGGCGGAGAGTCTTGGCCGGAGCTGGCTGAGGTCGCGGTCGCCGTGTCGGTGGCGGCCGCGTTGGACCCGGTCCCGAAATCGTGTATTGCGGACATTATTCGATTTGCTGCCGAGGTCTTCTTTGGTTCAAAGGCCTGTGTGGGTAGGCGCCCGGCGCGATGTTTGATCTCCCTCCACGCAAAGAGTGGCCGAATGTCCTGGGAATTGCGGCTCTTGGGGGTAATCGGGACAGGGAAAGTAGATCAAGAAACGGCGCGCCGAGCCTCGGGACAAGAGACTTTTAACCGTACTAGTAGTATCTCTGACCGAAGGTGTAACAAACTTCCTTCACAGCTAGACGCAGTCGACAAAGCGGGTATACTATGCAAATGAGTCAACGGGAGATTTGCAAGAGGGGCGGCCCCGAAGAAATCCTTCAAGAGACACGGATAGTAGATAGGACCTCTAAGAGCGAGGGAGAGACAGAAGAGTTTTACAAACCGACAATTTCTCAAACGTCCCACGCCCAAGCCCACGCCCCCAGCAGCACAACGCCGCCGTCAAAGGGGCGAGGGGACCTGGTGCTAGATCCATGGAATGGGTGGTGGGCGGCAACCCGCATCCGATCCACCGCCGCGAAAAGGGTGCTGGTGGGGTGCGCGGTGTGGGTATCCTCAAGGCACGCAATCGGAGCAGGATTGGGAAAGGAAAGGGACAACCTGACGAGGAGAGGACTAGAATTGGCCCATTGGGTAGGTGATCGACCTTCAGAGCCCGACGGGGATAACGGCGGAGCTAGGGTCGCATCGCCTCGGGCTAGAGTGGCCGCCGTCTTGGAGCGAGGTGACGAAGGGGGCCGACATTTGGTTGGATGCGTGTGTCGCTTCACCTCGAGACTTTGAGGTATCGTATCATCGAGACTGAGACACGCTGCATCTCTAGAATTAGAGTCTGGAACTGCTTCTGCCCCCGCTTCATGAGAATCCCCAGCTTCTCCTCCGCATTGGAGCCTTGCAGTCGTGGTACTGTGGAAGCGGAAAAAACAGTGCCAAATCCCGCGTTTCCTCTTATCAATGGAGCCCATCGTTTTCCGGTGTGAGATGAGTCGATGATTGGGGAGGTGTGGAGTTCAGCCGAGGTCCGCTTCGGTTTGCCCCACTCCCATTGTCCCATGAGAATAAGCACTGCTGAGACGGGTGAGAACATAAGTCATGTCTCTTTCGCCATTTGCGTGCAAGACAATGCCACTCACGTCTCCGATAGGGTACACTTTTTACAGTGTAGTTGATAGATGAAGTCATATCTCGCCTTGGCAGCTCCGACAATGATCTTCGCGGCCTCGCCCATGACCTTGTCGAGAGTTTTCCAGAACGTCTGGCGGAATCGAGAATACCACCACGAAGGTTTGCGGATTGGCCAGTTCCGCGTGGCTTCCCAGGACGGTGGAACCTGTCAGGCAGTGTGTCGCAAAAGTTATTCCCGGCGGAAATCCCTGGACGCTAGATACCGTCCGAGGCTTCGGCGGGGCGCTGACCGCATAAGCAGCAAAAACAATCATCCCTTGTTTTGACTTTTGACGATTCATACGGATGAATGTAGGAATTTCTCCTTCGTACAACGAGAGAATTTCCCTTCAAAATGCCATTGGTAGACGGCGTATGCTGTGCGACCCGGGCTAGATGTCGGAGTGGCTGTCCTTCGTAGCGATGGTGCTGTTGCACGACATGCGTCTCAGGCAATGCAGCATTGTCACCGGACTAAGAACGTGAGGCAGTATGAAATCTGAGGTGAGACGCCGAAGGATGAACCTGGAAGATGGAAAAAGTCTGAAAGATAAGCCAAAGTCGGCCGGTATCCATACCCATGGCCAGAGCTTTCGGTCAGGGTTCCCAATCCGGTTTTGGCGTGAGGTCGGCGGATCTCGGCGAAAGCGGGGCTTCGGATGTCTGAGGTCCGCTTTCGGCTCCGATCTCCGGCGATGCAACGACATTCCCTCTTGGTCCTTCCGACTTGTGTGAGTGTTTCATACTGGCCTTATAAGAATATCTAGTAGACTACAGATATCTTATGTGACTGAGATGGCTATACAGAGCTGGGACTCTCTTTCGAATCAGCACCTGAATCTCAGTTGTTGTCTGTGGCATTACGGTCGGAAGGATGGATGCAGTTTTTCTTGCTCTCAGTCGGCCGTATTGACTGACCAAAATGCGCAATTGAGATCCAAAGGGATACAGCATGTAGTTGGATACTAACAAAAGTTACCTGCAACTCGCGTCTTGAGCGACGGAACCAGTCGACGATTAGACATGTCGTCGAGATATGGAGGGGCTCGAGTCAATCTGACTTCGCAGTTGCAGCTTGTCACGAAACCGTTGTTCAGACGACAGCTACACGGACCAGTCTGCAGCCGCCACTCAAGAGTGTAACGTTATTCCATTCTATACGATGATTCTATTTGGAATGACTTACGTGATATTTCGTTCCGTTAAGATCTGCAAGTGCGAAAAGTGGGAGGATGATGTCACGTGATGAGTTGGGAGGTATTGGATGATTAATGATGCGATGTTTCTAGAATAATCAATCAATCCAACATAGCCCAAAAAATCTTTTGAGTAGCAGACATCTAGGTCATGCCTTTCAGTCAATTTTACTGAGGCGTCAATCTCAGACTTGGGCAGGGGCTCGCGACTTGACTTAAGCCTAGAGATGCCATAGTATAAGGTCGCCTAAAGACCAGAAAAAGACCAAAAGTCGATACCAAAAAGAGTTCACCCCCCCGGTGTTGAACTGGGGGCTACATCTCTTGGTGCACATGCTGGGAATCGAACCTGAACCCTGGTGAAGACGAGTCTGCCGCCGAGAAGGCTCGCCCCTGACCATCCCGCCAAACGGGACTTTGACCTGACCTCACAAGCCTGTGAGGCGCCTGCCACCGTTGGTGACAGGAATGGAACTCAGGGGTCCTATAGGGCCTTCTCCGGGCAACATCTGGAAGGTGCAGCCATGACAGTTAAGATCGATGCTTCCTTCCAATTTCGCGCTGGATGTTGCGTGGCCCCACATTGACTAATTCCAGCCAATAGTCTGAGCTATCGGCGCCTACCTCTAGAAGAAGCAACTTCATCGACAATGACAGGGGTTCATGCAAGGTCTCAGTCGCCGTGGCTGTGCAGCGTAAGCAGGCAACGACATTCAGCGCGAAAACCACACAAAAGTGAGGCGTTCCCTTGATACGCGCCAAGCGCATTCTGATTCCTATTCTGCTTCTAAGTTGAGCGCGAAATCGTTGCATATTTGATCTATGCGCGCCTCATCAAGCATCGCGAGATCCTGAAAGGATGGAACCCGACTACACGGACCCAAGCCACGAATGGTGGGCCCGGCCATCGGACGGCTACTTGGTTCCACTCGTGCTTCAGTGCGGCCAAGAGCCGGACGTTCTGCCCGAGACATCGAGATGGTCGCGCCTGGGGAAGTTACCTTCCCGAGTCTCGCCAGTTTTGCGCGTCTCTTACTGGACCGGCTCATCTTTATTTGTTCCTGGGACAAGGAAGTACAATATTAGCTTTTACACACTAGTGGTGACAGCGCTGAAGCTCCTCGTGGCATGGCCGGTGCTTTGTATGCTGGTATGAGACATATTCTTGCTCTGACAGACTGACCAGAACCGAACTGATCATGATTTCAAGGTCTGCTGGGCCGGGAATCTTGGGACAACTGTACAACAGCTTGTCGATGCTCGCAACAAAAAGGACTCACGCTACGATAACGTATGCGTTCTCTCAAGGGAGGAAAGCATCCAGAAGAGACCGTTTCCAGGTCGACATCTGGTAGAGCAAGATGCCATCCTTTCTGGTCCCCTGCAAGAAGCAAGGCCTCCAGCATCAGAGCAGCATTACACCGATAACATCAGGTTGAGCGGGTCTCTGCCACCTTCAGGGTCACGCGTCGACAGCTCGCCAACTTCTCTTCGTCCACGATACCTATGCTTCGTCAGGGACTTTGAACAAGGCATATACGAGACAGTCAAGGTTTCCGACTACCTCGCGCAGCATGGAGACGATGTAGACCTCGAGTTCGTCTTCGTCTCATACACCAGGCTCCAGTTCAGGGTAGCTACTGAGGAGGAACTCAACAAGCACGACTACCAAGACGAAGCTACCAGGAACGCTAACAAAAAAGTTGCACGACAGGATCGAGAGATCTTGGCCAAATGGGGCATGGATGCCGCCAAAAGGGTGGGCAAAAGGGCATTCTGGCTCGACTTCGAGTGTGTTAGGAACGACGACGGCATCGCACGATCGACGAGTAGTAGTCAGGACGTCTATCGAATTTGCGACATTGTGCGCGCGGCACATTCAATGATCATCGCCATCGGGCCATCCGCAAACGACAAGGTTGCCTCAATCCTTGCCAGCACTGAGCCTCCTGAGTACAAGCGTGAGAACGTCACGCCGTGGTTACGGCAGTGGGGATCCCGCCTGTGGACGCTGCCGGAACTCCTACTTTGCCCAGGGGAATATCGCATACGACTCTATGTCCTCGGGGACCAAGCGGAGCCTAAGGAATTGGCGAAACGCAACTTCGCTGAGCGGGCATGGGACGACGCGGAGGCTGTGAAGGAACTCGTGGACCACTTTGAAGGATCCGCGATCCTTACCGACCTTCGGCTCATCGAAGCTGCCCTCGCTTGTTTCTCGAGGCGTCAGACGGATCAATTTAACAAGGGAGACATCGCATACGCAACAATGGGTCTGTTCCCCAACCGCCATCGACCCCCAGTGAACAAAGAAGACTCCGGGTTCCAGGCCTTTGCCAAGCTCTCCATCGCCAATGATAGTGGAGCCTTCCTCAGCAGGTTGATATCCCTTTCCCAGCCAGACGGAGCCCCATGGCACCGGGTAGAAGATACCTGGGGTGCTAGGCTCAGCGAGATCTTTCCAAGCGTCAGTATAACTGGCGTGGTCGGCGCCGATACAGTCATGCTGGATAAGGTTCACGGTGCGACGATTCATTGGGACAACCTCGAACCAGAGCCTTATTTCGACAGGAGCTTCGGGATGCGTTATGTCGTTTTCGTCGGCTTCACGTACTTTGCATGCTTCTCCGTCCCTAT